AAATTTTATTATAATTAATTATTATTATATACACACCTATAATAATTATCAAAAATCTAAAAAAAATATAGTAAAATATAGTAAAATTGAAATTATTTCTTTATAAAAAAAAATTATTTTTATTAGTAAATATTTTTTGTTTTTATATTAAAATAAAGTTAAGAATCTATATTTTTTATATATTTTTTAAATTTAATTTCAGAAATATTTCAGATTATAAAGTTAGTTATATAAATATTTTATAATTAAAATTTAATAATTTGAATTTTTAATTTGAAATATTTCTAAAATTAAATTTAAAAAATATATAAAAAATAAATATTAAAAATAATTTCTATTTTACTATATTTTACTACACTTTTTTCTGGATTTCTGGTAATTTATTATAAAAGTATGTACTTTAATAATATTAAAATATTTAATACTAATATAAAAATATTAAATTAGTTAATTTAATTTTTTCTTATTTTATTTTGAAATTCTTTTTTATAATATTTATAAAAATTCAAAAATAATATAAAAATAAATATAATAATTTAATAAATATTATTTATATTATTTTATTCTTTTTTATCTTTTTTATTTAATTTTTACTTAATTATTATCTTTTTATTGAGTTATTTTATTTTTTATCTTTTTTATCTATTTATTTTACTCTTTTTATTTTTTGCATCTAGTTATTTTATTTATTTATCTTTTTTATCTAGTTATTTTCTTTTTTTTATTTTTTTACTTAATTATTTTACTTTTTTTATTTTTTTATCTAGTTATTTTATTTTTTTTATCTTTTTTTTATCTAGTTAATTTATTCTTTTTATCTTTTTTATTTTGTCATTTTATTTTTTTCAATTATTTCTTTTATTTATTAAATAATTATTATATTAAAATTTGTATTTGTAAAAAATATATAAATAAAAGTGCTATTTGAACAAGTTATAATAAAAATCTTTTATCAAATAATATTCATCTCTTACTCTTAATTATATTATATAAAAGTGATTTTGAATTGTATTGAGTCTATTAAAATGCTATTATTGAATTTTTAAATTAATAATTTGAAGTATTTTTGTTTTTTATACTAATACAGAAAATTAGCATCTTATAATCTTTTTTATTGTTTATTTCTCTTTATTTTATAATATCCTCTCTTTCCTTTTAATCTTTTTACACATTTATCTTTTTTTCAAACTATTACAATTTCAGTAGAAATTGGTATAGAACTTTTATACCCTTCTTTTCTATTAGCATTTTGTTTATTTGTTTAATTCTCTCTCTCCATCCTTGTTCAAGTTTGTAAGCTAATTTAGCAATTAGTAAACAAACTTGTAACAATATACATGTAGTTCCTATTACTATCATGTAAAATTGATTTTAAATACTTTTTATAATTGAGAACAGTAATTTTAGTCTTTTTATAAGATAAAACTTCAAAATAAAAAATTATTTTGATAGTTTTAGTTAAACTTGGCATTTTAATGATACAAATAAATGAGGAAAAAGTGGCCATTATATTCTTCGAAATTAATCATTTCTATCACACAAATCAGATTTGTTATTAAATTGATATGTAACACCCAGTATAATATTAGATTTTTTACTAGCGCTAGTTATAGTTTTTACGAAAAGCAACCTCCAAATTCAAAGCACTAAAAAAATCACCATCGCGAATCGACTGTATATAGACTCGAATCGCCTGATGCATATCCCGTTCCGTACCAATTCCATTACCATAATACTTTCCAAGCACAGACATAGCCCTCGGATGTCCATTTCTCAGAGCAGCATTAATCCAATAGAATGCCTTGCTCTTGTCTTTTTTCACACCTATCCCAGCTCCATAATGTACCGCCAACATAAACTGTGCACCACGATTTCCAGACTCAGCTGACAACTTGTACCATTTGAACGCTTCACAATCATTTTTTTGAAACGAGCAAAAGAACTCGTCACGTGAACGCCACGAATGCAAATGCCCGATGATAAATTGTGCATAAGAGTTTCCGGCGTGTGCTGCTTTTTCGTAATAACGAATTGCGAGACTTTGATCGCGTGGTGCTCCGATCCCGTTTTGTAGACAGCATCCGATTATGAGAAAGTCGTTTGCGGTTTGTGGTGATGTTGTCCGTGGAGATAGTAATTGTGGTGCTGGTATTTTTTTGTCTAGTTTTCGTAGATACCGCCATAAATCTCTTCTTTCTGAATCGGTGACTGCGGCGGTGAATTTTCGACGTGTATCTTCAGTAAACCACAACAATGTACGTTCATAGCTAGTATTGTTTATTACTTCAATTATTTGCTCAAATATATTTTCTTTAATGTTGTTAATTTGACTTAATAATGGACGTGTCAACATTTAGTAGTATATTAATAAATATAGTATATTATCTAAGAGAATGAGCAATTATTTATACGATAATTGATCTGATGTATCAGAAATAAAAATAGCTATCACTATGGCGTATGATTGTATTTTATAAATTAGTAATCTACTTTGAAAATAACGCTAACGCTAATACGTTATACAAATATTGTCTCATATTAAGCTATCAAAACTTTTTCACAAAAAGCTATTTTTAAGACAACAGCTCGTAGGAATTAGAAGTAGCTTTGTTGCTATTAAAGATACCAAAAGTTGGCTTACCAAATTGCTTTAATTACGACTCACAGTTTTTGCTCATAAAATACAAAAAAAATGTGATTTTTTATTACAAGTTACATATGGTCCATTCCGTCTCTTGAATTATTTCAAGGTACAATCTCCACCAACACTATTCATTCTTTTCCTAATGAAGTCGAGTTACCAGATAATGAATATTGTTAAATTTTCTCAAATACTTCGTCATTTTTCCTATATAAAAGTACGAAACGACCTTGTCCGACGAAGCAACTGCTAACCGAATACATTCCGAGTATATTACCACATTTATTGTATTCCTTTGGATCTGATGGATGAGGTTTCTTCATATTAGAACAAGTTGCTGCCGATATTATACCTGCTTACAATCTTTCTAATGCCAGATACTTTGTAACAGTAACCGTCTTGTCATGATTCTTCAAAAGTTGATTGAATTTTTTCGCGTTAAAACCATCTCGTGTATCTCGATATAAAACGCGTTTAGGTTTTTGAGCATTTGTTGATGATGAATGATCTATCCAAGTTCCGAATCGTTTTTCTAAGTCCAGGCTTGATTATTTCTTCCGAAATTTGTGGTAAAAGCTTGCCAGATAAAGATTAATTTTTTTTGGATTGTGACTCGGAATTTATAATCGAACCATCAATAAGTGTCGATTTTAGCGCCTCGAAATCTGATGTGGTCCATTCTGTAAGTTACCGTATTTTTCGGCAATTAGTACCCCGGGTCTCTTACATTCTAGGGGCTCAAAAATTGATTAATACCCACCGGGTACTTTGTGAAGAGGAGGGTATATTATACGGGGAATACTTAACATGGAAGCCGTAATTTTGGCCTGGATTACACTAGTTTTGGTCTGAATAATGCTAATTTCAGGAATTATGAAGGGGGGGTACTTTACATTCTACTCAACTTGTAACCGAGATTAGTACTTTATCAAAGGGATGTTTTATCAAGGGGGTACTAATTGCCGAAAACTACGGTTCAAACCCAAATATTGATTTCTTCAACACTGAGATCTTGCTCAAGAAACATACGAAACGCAGATTCCCGAAGAAATAGAACATCACGGGATTGGAACGATAAATTCAGGTCTTTTTATTCAATATTCTGAAGGAATCCGGTTGACTGTAGTGATACTGATAATCTTTACAAGGTCTTCTTTCATTCACCTCCTTTGGTTGAATATATTGTTAATAAAAATTCAGTTCATACAACTCTAATTCATTAATGCTAATAGGGTGTTAAAGATGTTATTCACATTCTTGATTTCGCCACAGAGATCCCTAAAAAAAATTATTTAATAATTTTGCTTAGTGCACCAAGCTATATTTATCAGAAAAATGTATGTCGGTGAAATGTCATGTCGGGGATATGGGTGGTCGATGAAATGGGCTGTCGGGGATATGGCTTCGGGGAAATGTTGTGTCGGGGTAATTATACTGCACCCTCTCAAAGTTTTATAAAGGTTTTACAAGAATCGATTACTGGTTATAAGCAACTTTTTTGAAGGATTGCTTATAAGTGTGTATTGAAGCATAAAACTGGTTAAGAGTGCAATCTTGAAACGCGCGTTTCAAACCGATCTCGATTTGAGCAAGTGCTCAATAATTACCGAGTAATTTCGTGCTCAATCGAGATCAGTTCGAACGGGCTTCATTTTAATACCCCAATTCTGTCCTTAATTACAAAGCTTTATTTTACTTACTTTGAAGTAAAAAATATCCTATTTCAAAAATAGAATATATTCAATAAAAAATTTACTGAATTCACGCTATGGCACAGTCTCAAGCTTAAGACTTCTAAATATTATAATATGGTCTCAAGGTGCATTTAGAGTGGTTAGTCTAGAATAAAATTGAAGCATTTTGCAACATTGTTTTCAGAATTAAAATATACAATCAACTCCCTCTAAATGCACACGCTATGTTTCTATTCTATAAATGCACACCTTGGTTCGGTCCCAAGTTAATAATATTACTAAGTAAAATGCTCTCTATAAATGCATAAACTCTCTTAATGCACTCTCAGGTTTGATTTTCATATATCTCCCGGCGGTGTGCATTTAGAGAGAGTTGACTGTAATCTGTCCGGATCAAACGAAGCATCTACATTTTCAAAGAAGCTATCAAAATATATCGATACGTATGCAGATAAAAAAAAGATTCGCCGTATAATTCACAATACAGCCTTGAATTCGAATAGAACATGAGCTTTCGGCTATTTTATATTATCATTACTATTTCGCAGTTTCTCTATACTACATTAGCTAAAATTGATGAAATCAATCGAGGTAGTGAATAAATTACGTTAAAACAAGCAGGTTTAACGTCTCAATGTGAAGAGGCGAGACCAATCTAATTGCAAAAAGTCCATGAATTCTTGCTATCAACTTCTAGATTTACAAAATCAGAAGAGAAAAAGGATAATGAAACATCGATAACTTCTAAATAATAGATCTTTCTTCAAGTAATGCTTAAAATTAATTTTCATCAGCTGGACTCAATATTCGCGAATTCAAAGTGAATTTATGGTTTTATAATTAATGTAATGGTAAATTGCTTTGCGTTCATGTAACAACGACAATTTATCGAAAAACAATACAAATGATCGAGTTGTTGATATCATTCAAGAATACTTTGGTGAATAAAAAATAAATTAATTTATGTATAGCAGCTACCGACGAGGGTCTCCAGTTCATAAAGTTTTGCAAACCGATGGTTGTATCAGAATATTGGGATCTTTATTAATAGTCTCTATAATAAAAAGATACAATCCCAGTACATAGGTATTCCCATGTAATTGTATCTTGTAGCACGTCGTTATTTATGAAGCACTGTGGTAGTAATACGCGGAGAATATTAACAGAAGTTGATATTTCCGTTTTTTATCGTATATCTCATCTCATTTATTAAATGCAATAATTTTTTAAGTGTCCAGTTTTATTTTTGAAAGCGCCAGAATTCGTTAGTCTTTAACGAACTTTTAACAATATCATTAGGAAGTCGTGAGAAAAGTGGTCAGTATTCGCTTACAAATAATTCTTTTACCATGTATATTATCGCGAATTTGTTTCGAATTTACGGACAAAAGAAATTTCAGAGTTCCTTATTACGTAATCATCATAATAAATTGATAAATTTTCTTTTTCATTCATGCCGCCTTAATTCATGGAATACACAAAGACTTTGGCCAAACCCGACTTTACAGACGCATATACACACCCCTACAATATATTACCGGAAATTTAATGTCGATCATTCAACGAATCAAAGTTTTTATTATTAAATA